TTACAGCATCTGTCAGAGAAAATTCATGGTTATCCCTGGGGTTGTCTTCAAGACTGTGAAATTAAATATCACAGTCACCATACAGCACCCTTAGCTGGTTAGAAAAAAGAGCTGTAACAGCCATGATATTGTTTTACAATGATACTTTTCCACCTGTAATTTCTAAAGAAAACAGTTTTAAAGTGTTTAATTGTGCATTTTGAATTTTGCATCTTAGATTTTGTGCTTCTTTTTCTTGGTTCTTTTTCGGCTTTTTTTTTTTTTTTTTTTTTTTTTTAGAACTAGAGCCTTTCATAACACAGTATTTCTTACATGGAAGAAAGGCAGGAACCTTTTTGCAACATTAACTTATATTGCAAGCAATCTGTTCTAGTTTAAGTCACAATCCAAAATGCTATGACTCAGAACTCCTGCACATGACTGCTCCCTCAGCCCTGTATGTGAGCTTGGCCCCAGTGAAGCTGTTTTCAGTAGCACAGCACTTACCTGTCACCCAGTGGGACCTGACATTCCTGCATGTTTCACTTAAACCCAAATTAAAGCCTCAACATCCATTTACAAAAATGCAAAACCATGTCTTCTTACAGCTCAGTCATCTATAAAAAACTTCCTTGAGAGACTCTCCAAGAGGGAAGAAAAATATTCCGCAATGAGGGAAATTTCCTTCATCAGGATGAGAGGAGGCTGAGCTTTTTCCAGGCTGACCCAACCTGTTCTTTACTGACCTAAGAGCATGTTGCTGTCAGAAAGATTCACAGCAAGAAATCCCCCAGGATCTCCAGGGTGAATGACATGCTGCTTTTCTAAAGAGAGGCAGTTACACAATTACAGAAACTCTAAAATATGTGGGAGTTACATGGCTGGTGCTGCTGCACCTTCAGCAGCAACAGGGTGTTCACAGAGAAGAAAAGGAGGGTGGGAGATACGGGAGATACCATCCTCATGGGGAGGAATGCCCAATCTGCCAACCTGCCCTGGTAATACCTTGGGAAGTGTGGTCCTTGCAATGAGACCCAGACCCAGGTTGTTGCCAAAGTTTTTCCAGCCCTTGGAGCATTGCAGCTCTTCCATCTGGGCATGGACAGGACTGCCAGGGTTTATCCAGGGCATGTCAAGGGTGGCTGCAAATTCCTGAGGGTAGGGTGAGGTGTGAGGGCCTGAGTGCTGTAGGTGAGACTTAAGGGCTCAAGCAGAATTTGACAGATCTTTCAGGACAACACCTGATTATGTTGCTGGTGGCGCAACCAGAGCATTCACCCTTGTGACTGCAGGATGTTCTCTGGTTGTGTAAGGAGGAACACAATGGCAAAACTGGCATAACAATGCAGGCATAGTAAAGCATTTAACTTCTTTAATTTCCCCTTTTACTGACTTTGGTCCTTTGGTTCTATCTAACTATAAAATTCTTCCATGCTGCTACTCTAAACAGTACTACAGTGCTGCTTCCAGATCAAAGTTGTGTTACAACAGTTGCTCAGTTGTGGAGGGTTAAAAACATGGAAAAAACCTGTGAGAACTGAGTAGGACTTTTTGAATTAAGGTAATTGCTCAGGAGTCACCATCAACAAAGCAAATAAGAGTCAGTGCCAGTTACAGCAGCTGCAATAGTGCTGTGAGTTATTCAACACCTCCAGGAGACATCATGAAATATAGCAACTTACATAGGCCATATTTGAATCTTGTTTTAGGAATAAAAAAAGTGTTGTGTGTTACCATCTGTGGTTATGTATTTTTACCATGTGTTAAGTATGTTTTTGTCCATGATGCCATAAAATGCAACAGGCTTCCAGAATAGTGTTAGACCTCGGGGATTTGTCCTGTAAAGAGAACATCTGCAAGGGCTCTCTCAGTGGTCTGTTGCAGCAATTTGAGGTACAAATAGTAATCACAACATTAGCTTTGAGACATCCCCTGAGGCTCATCTGCATCATATTTTGAAAACATATAGACTTTCTTGATCAAAACATAAAGATATTCTTGATCAAAAGATAAAGACATTCTTGATCTCCATCCTGCAGAAGTGGGGCTAGAATGTGATCCATGTGAATAACCATTGTTTTTGGAGAACTGTACAATGCAAGGAAGAAAAAAGAAGTGCCTGCACGGGATGGAGTAGAGCAGTCTTACATTTGATACCTGTCTCCTGCAGACAGGAGATTTGTCAGAGAGAATATACTAGCTCACAATGGGAGTCACTAAATGGCAGCATGTATCCCAGCTGCAGCTCCCTACTTCTTTCCTTGGCTTCTATTTCTGTGCAAGTAAATACTCTGACAACTTTAGAGAGCACTACAGCAAAGTTTGTATTTAGGTATAGCACTTAAACGAATGTTTTCTCCACCTCAACTTCCAAACTCACCTGACAAGCTGGAGCCTGACATGACTTCCTTGTCTACAAGGAAGTACTACAGCACAATTGGCCAGGATAAATAACAACTGGAATGATGGTAGGATAATTTGACTTTAATATTTCTGCTTCTAGCTAACATATTAGAATTCACTCTTGTGTGCATCTGTATATCTGTCCCTATAAGACTCATATCTTCTGTCATGGGCCGTGTTTCTGGCTCCAGCCTGAGTGCAGATTACAATTCAGGACTCATATTCAACAAGCATCCAGGAATAAAGAGCATGTGATGTGCCTGGGTATTATTTGTCGGAACAAATCTAATCCACCTCTTTGAGAGAGGAAGACTTTCCAAGTAAAATGCTTTCTGATAGAAGCATGAGAGAGTAGACTATGAACACAAAAATTAGCAGAAATCTTTGGGGAAAAAAAAAAGATACATAGGTGGGATAGTAGGTGGGATGGGATGAACAAAAGCAGCAGTTTATTCTTGTCTTACACACATGGCACAACATACAGAACCAGCACAAATAACTTACAAAGTCTCATACACCATGCTTTCTCTTGAATAGCTTCTATTAAGTTACAACACCATAACAAATCGGGTATTTAGTTACGACAGATCTCCAGACATGGATAGTCTCCATTCAAGGAGTTATTATTTTTTGTAAGCTACTTAGACAAACATCATTTTTTTTACATGTTTAATACAGTACAGTATCCTTAACAGAGTTCAAGATATTCACAATGAGAATTGAACACTTTATAAAACAGCAGAATTTCTCACCTCAGTACAGGCCTACATTCGCTCTCCTGCCTCTTTCTGAATTAAAATGTGTTACAAGTCGTCTTTACTCAACTTTTCAAACTGAGAATTGCTTTAAATGAAAAAAAATGCTATTTACAGGGTTTTGTTAGATTTGATAAAAATGTATTTGCTTCCCTTTCCAATTCCAACTCCCCTACCCCCAACAAAAACTGCCGCTTGGCAATTTTAGAAATATTGACCCTCAAGCTGCTATAAAAACTAAAAAAAAAAAAAAGAAATTTGTGACGACTTGTTGGATGCAAAATGAAAGATGATCATCACAGCCCAGCATTAATTCAAAAAGATGAATTGTTATCCCCTAATGTCATATATTGTGTTCATTGGAGACAGATGATGCCTGTCATCTGATTTTTAGAGATAAGGAACTACTTATGGGCCAGCGTACAAAACCTCCATTTTTTTTATTTGCAAGATGCCACACTCTCTGTGATTAAATAATTTCCAGCTCAGTTCTTTCCTTTTCAGAAATTGTTACAACTCTGATTGTGTCATACTGACCTAAACTCTCCCAGTCTCCATTGGATAAAACAATGTTTCCCCATATCCATGGTCCCAGTGATATTTCTGGGTTGACTCAGGAGAGTTTTGCTCTCTGACTGCACTTCAAACTCCACTAAAGCCTGTGGGCATCTTTCATTTGGTGGCTTTGGATTAACTCTGCTTGAATGTGGCTGGTAAACTCTAGCCCTTAAGCAGTTAATCAGCTTTCTAAAGAAATAATCAAAAAAGATTCCTCTCCTTTATACATACAATACTCAATATTTTTACATTTAGCATTATCATAAAAAGCATGTTTATGTTACTTTGAAAATGTATTTTTACAGAAATCTATAAACACTGTTGTATCAAACACATTCTCAAAAACTGGAGAAAATACTGACACAAAACCTGGAAGAGCCTCAATGGAATTCTTCCAGTACTATTTGTCTACTTGCATATTTCATATTTCAGTGTCCTTTCCTGCAAACATAATTTGGCCATATGAGAACAGGTAAAGTAGACAACAAATCCCCAACAGTTTTAAGTAGGACCTAGGTCTGTTGTTTAATGAAAGTAGATTGACATTCAATGTATGTTTGGTTTGTTCTAATTGGCATGCCCATTTTGCTACCTTTACTCACAATGAGCAGTGCCTCAATTCCCAAGTAGTCTTGTTCGCTTCAATGGGATTACACATGACAAATGACGTATGCAAAAATACTGAAAATGGTCTTCCACTTTCTTAACCCTTCTTATGTCAACAACGAACATCACTATCTTCTTCTTTATATATATTGTACTTGAAAATGAAGTAGGACTAATACTTGCAAACAATTCTGTATCAGAAGTTAGTGCACAAACTTTAGGAAATAATCTGATATAGTTGTGCTATAGTTCTGACAGCCTAAAAACCTATCTGGTTTGACCAAGACTAAATTTCACAGGTCTAAATGCTTTATTTGTACACTTGTTATTGTTACACTTGACATTTCCTCAGCCTGACACAATTTAATTTTAAATGGACATGTGTCACACTGACATTAAATCAGGATGCTATTTTCCTTTACCACCACCATTTTCAGTACAGTCAGTAATGTACATTAATTCATATAACCAAAGTACTATCCAAGTACTTTGTCTATAGAATGTTGGAGAAATTATAAAGTGAATTTTGTTTCCTCTCCTGCAAAATTTAAAAAATGAGCTGGAGTTTGTATATTGGTACTGACTGTAATGACTTCCTTACAGTCCAGGAGGTTAAACACTAAACAGCAGAATAAGGTTTTCTTCTTTGTCTCACTATTTTTTTATTCTTTAATGAAGCTAAAAAAATAAAAAAAACCCCAACATCAACTTCTGTTTAGTACTAGTGAAACATTAAAATATAATTGGTGAAAATTAATTGTAATATCCTGTATGTTACCTCATCTCAACAGAAATTCTTTTATATGGCTTGAAATGTTTAAAGTGTAATCCTACCTAGAGGAAAAAAATGCAAGCCATATCTAACCCCAAATTCTACCTATACTGTAATGTGTACAGTCACCCGTAAAGGAGCCCTTTTAACAAAAAAAAGCATGTGAACTTATCATTAGTTTGAAGTATGTATCTATTTTGGTCACTGTGATAAAAAAATTATATATATAAACTTACTAAAAAATCCAGGTGTAATCAATTATATAGTATTTCAACACTTAAAAAAAATAGTTTTACACAATGTGATATGTAAAGCAAAATATTGAATACATGTTAATTCTTTGGGATGATCAAAGTATAAGTAACCAAAACTTACAAAAAATGATTAAATTTTCATAAAAGAAAATTTTTGGTGGAGGGGCAGAAGGAATTTCCCCCCCTACTCACCCTCAATCCCCATGGCTTTTATAGATCCATCCCCTTGCCTAATAAGCCACAGGTGGGGTTTTTTTTGGATATATTGTAGTAAGGTTTTTTTCTTCTATATATGAGTCACTAATAAGTGACTCTTTGAAAACATAGTTTGTTCTTCTTGAGGTTTACAGTGCTTCATAATTTACAGGCTACTTAAACTCTAGAAGAATATTAATCTGAACTAATTATGTTAAAGATTGATGAAATAGAAATTCCATTATTTACTGTGAAAATTAAGTCACCTTCTGTTCTGATAATTCAATTCAAGTTTATTTCAAACACCCCTCCCCCCTTGAAAAAAAAAAAAAGAGGAAAAAAAAGTTTTGTGGTTAAAAGCTTGTAATTATACATAGCAAAGAAAAAAATATCTGCTCCTTGCCTATGGAAATATATATAGTTTTTTAAGATCCAACCCCTCTCTAACCTGCTAACCATCACATAACATATGCCACTTGGCAATTTGTCTCCTAGGATATTCACAAATTTCTTTCCAGTGCTCTCCACCTGTTCCTTCTGCTGAAGATTCCAAGGTTAACCTACCAATGACCTCATTCCTTGACCCCCTATCTGAATCTAAAACCAGAAATTCAATGCTGATATCATCAAGGCCCTCACAAGGAATGTCAAAGACAAACAATTCATTGAACACTGCATTGGGGGTGCACTTCTTCACATGGGTTTTCTTTTTAGAAATTCTCTTCTTGGCATGGTACAGGTTCACTTTGACATAAGGGTCTGCAATGAAAAGAAAGAGCACAGATCAGCTATTGTACAGTGGTTGAAATTCCTTGATGTAATTTATGGTAAATTCCACAATTATCCGATATATTTACACCACAATGAGTAGCTCTGTCAATTTATTAAAGTTGATTCCTCTCATCTAATTTTTAATTTTTTTTTCTATGCATCTGAATTAACCCCTTTAATTTCCCTTTATGGTCACCAAAATTGTGTTCAAGGCAGGCAGTGAAGTTTAGACTGCTACCAGCTACAGGTGTTTCCTTAATGAGATAAATCCTGTCCTGCAGTCCATGAAACCAGCAACACATCTACCACATTCAAAGATGGTCTGGAAGTGCACAAAATTCTAAAGGTCTATGAAAATTATGTAACATTACACATTTAAATGTGACAGAAATTTACTTTTCACACATTCTGCTGGGGTACAATCATCATCACTAATCAAACCCATGAAAAGAAAATTTTCAGAAAGGAGTGAATAAACTTGGACTGAGAGAATGGGTGTGATATTTCTGTTTGAGTCCTATAGAAGTCAATTCACCTGACTAAATTGAGGCCACCAATTGTTATTGAATAAATTTGATGTTAAACTTTAAATGAAAGGGTATGTTCGCTGTTGGAATGTGTGTCTTTCCACCTGTGTTGCTACTGTTGAATATGGGAAGGAAAAATGTCCATATTTTTAGCTGCCAACCAACTTTAAATGTTTGCATTCATCAGAATTATTTAATTGTTGTGAGGTTCTCTTGCTATTGTCCTCAATAATGGCCATATTTATTCTTTCAGAGGAGACATTTTAAAAGTCAACCCTTTCAATTACCTTGGCATTTATTCAGGGAAAGTGTGGGCCTGTTTCCAGGTTCTCATGGTGCAGTGATGTAGTACAAAATCTTCTCTACTGAACCCAGTCAAACATGATAGTTTACATAAACAATTAACCAAGTTAATCATCAAGAACTCCTAATACTTTTTTAAAATAAGTAATACTAAAACTGAACAGTATTTACATATTTTATGTCACAGTTATCAGACTGAAAGGGTTGGATAAGTAAAAATTATGTTTTTCCTTAAACTGACAATGGTCTACCATAAGTGGGGTGTAATGGGCTGCCTCTTCACTTTCATATTCTATCACCATAATGAACATTTCAAAACCAGGGCTCAATAAAAACACTCACTGGCTTTGAAATATCGTATGCCATGCAAGCATTAGAACCATCAAAATCAATATCAATCAGTGGTTTCCATTTAGTTTTAGAGGAAGTTTTCTGTTACTTTTGAGCAGCTACCAGATAAAGCTAGAGAGTTCCACTTGACTTTATTAGGCTAACAAAGGTCACTGAGCACCAGTGACTAACGAAATCAAGGAGATGTGAAAATGGAAAATTTTCTGAGTATAAAAAATTTCCCCTCTTCTCTAGGAGGTTGAATTTTGGAATTGTTTATTTTATTCCATAGAAACACCACTTCACTCTTCTCTTTTTCCAAGATAAATGTTGGGATGAGGGGAAAGTCACAGAGGAAATTTTGAGTGTCCTGAGTGCAGTATGTTACTGAAATCCAAATATCTATTGCACCTGGCCTTACTGACAAACAGAAAATAATGGAAAACTGTTTAAATTGAGTAGGAGTCCAGGTGCAACATGGCTGCCTGCAGAAGTAGTGCATTCCTATTATAGTCGGAAAGGCTCTCCCAGGGGATGCAGGAAATGCAAACAGATTTTACAGCTTTACTTGTAAGAGCTGCAATAAAAAAATGGTGTTCCATAGGGTCCAGGTAGATGCTGTGTCTAGAAGGGCTTTTTTTACCAAGTTATTTTCCCATCTGGGTAAACGTCAGGCAGGTCTGTTGAGATCAGCTTTTTGTCATGCTGTCTTCATGAAACCACCACTATCTCCTGTGACTTTGGGGTTGATTTTTAAAAATACATATCCTCTCTTTTAGTCAAGTAAATTATTAGACTCAATATGCATCTTTTCTCCTTCTGATATGTGAACAAAATTTAGATCAAAAGGAAGATTTAAATGGAACTTGATGAGAGTTGCCTATAGGTTTGTTGCATTGGATTCAAGCTAGGCTAACTTTCCAGAAGAATTGCAGTATGAAAAACAGAAAAACTAATTTTGGCTTCAGTGATAATTATTCAATGTTTCCTAAAACTACTCCCTTTTCTTCTTGTTTCATAATATTGAGTGAAACGAAAGATTATAAGTTCTATAAAGAAGCAGCAGCAGATGTGGTACTATAGCCCTTTTTTGTGTACTGTTGTTTTTCTGAGGCAGTCTAATATACAGGACATTAAATTTTACACTGTTGTTATGTTATATAGCCTTAATGTGTCTTCTATGTGCAATTCCAGAATTGGCTTCAGAGGAGGTTCCACTGAATGAGAAATGGCAGCAGACAAGGAGAAGAGAGGATAAAACCTGATCCCTCTTAGTGCACCCCAAATTTGGCTCATGATAAAGCACGTGTGTCATGCTGCAGCATCCTCCCAGCATTGGCACAGCTCACCTTCTCACCTTGCCAAAAAATGTTAGTGCTCAGTTAGTGCTCAAATTCAACACAGAGGTAAGATGCTGCTTTTCTTTTGAGAAAAATTATATGATGATCTCACTCAACACTGAACTTCTACAAATAAACTCATTTTTTGTCATAAATAAAAGCTTTTGGCATCTGCAAACAACATCCCACGCTTATGGCAGATGGGTTCTGTTCAAGACAATCATAAAACTCATTGGTTTCCACTGCTAGCAGATGTCACCTTTTATTGATGTGATTGAAGAACAAATTTGTAAAGTATATACCCTAGAAATAAAGCACTGACCTAGATATGAATGAAATGAATAGGCTGTAAATAATAGAAACACCATTTCTGCATGTATGGAATATTTTCAGTCTTTGAAATGCCGCCTTTCAGCTGTCTTTTGTCATTCTGTTTTATATTCTTGGGGCATATTCATTATTAAAACCATTACCTGATAATCCTGACACATCAGATTTTGGTAGATGCCTGGCTTTTAGAACAACCACAGTGAGTGTGTTTGTTGTAGATTGATAACAGAGAGAGACCAGTAATTCTCCACGACCAGATGATTTCTGAGGAAATTAAAGGAAAAACAACAACATCAAAAAAAGTAATAAAACTGTTTATAAGCATTTATATTGACCAAGCTTTAAACCAGAGTTAAAAGGGTTTATGGAATGTCCCAGAAGTATATGCTCTGAAGCTGTATAAAAGGACATACCATATATAGCTATTCTGATTTACATAGTGATTATAGTTTCCCTCTATATTAGTTATATAACTTTTCCTATGATTGGTTTTCAGACTGAATAAAATTAAAAAATAAAGAGACAATGTAAGTTGGCATGACACTACTATCTTTGGACAGTACAAATAAAATCCTGAGGAAAAAAGAATCACAGCTGAAAAAAGAAACTTATCTTAAACAAAGCAAAATTCCATTAAGATATAATTAGGAGAAAAAATGTAGTACAAGTAAAGAAAAAATATTTGGTAAAGTATTTTAAACAGGAAGGATTCAAGCTATCAGTAAAATCTTATCCCTTAACACTCTCTAAAGCAGTACAATATACATGAAATAAAGGTGAGATGAAAGATTTTCTCTATCATTATCTGATTTGAATTTGGAGGAGTAGTGTATTTCAAATGGAGAAGGAAGGCAAGGGAGACAAGAGCAGATAGTACCTTATAAACCAGAAAATCCAATAAGTTATCTACAAAATCCTGTGACATACTTATTTTTGTTGTCATATAGTGATAGAATTGCAAAATGACAGTATTAGCTGTAGGTATGTTGCCTATTAGAAATTTATTTTATTAGGCAGTATGCTTGTCATTTGAAACCAATCATGGTTAAAGTCAATATGCATTCCACTTCCTTAGCAGAGATTTAAGAGTGTGTGTGTTTGATGCCTGTGCATTTCTGTGGTTCAGCTGGAATGGTTATAAATGACCTTTGCATTCTGAACTGAGACAACACAGCATTAAATATTTTTGTCCCAGTAAAGTCAGGAAGTTTTGCTGGTAACTCCACAAAGCCTATGGCTCCACCTTTACTACCTTTAGTAAAGCTGCTGCTCATGAGACAAAGCGATGACATCACCAACATGCAGGACCATGCTACAACATCAACGATATAGTCTCTAGCAGATCCCACTTCCCTAACTAAAGACTACCTACATTCCTTAAGAATGTGCTATGCAACCCATGCAGGTGATATTTCCATTGACTTCAGTAAGATTTAAGGAAGAATGGTGTCAAATATAAAAGGGGATGGAGGAGAAAGGGAATAATACATAATTTTTTTTTTTTATTCTTTCATTTAAAAGCAATTAAAAGCAAATCAGTGGGGTTTGAGTCAGCTTGAGCTAACTGGAATTGGTCCACTCAAACCTGCTGAATAAGAAATTAGAGCTTAGGGCATTAGCAATTTCTTTCATCATGCTTGTTGTAATGTTTTTTTTCTATTGCATTTGTGTAATGACTTCCTCACACAGCCATTAGGAAAGTATCTCACAAATTGCATGGTGAGCTTTTTGGCTTTTCTTATCCAAGATGGCAGCAGCATTACACAAGAATCATAGCTAACCCTATCACAACACTTTCAAACTTTGAGTAAAAAAGATGTTACCCTAACATTTCTTTTGATGATCTCTCTGTCCATTAGCAGCCTTCCTTCCGAGAGTTCAATTCCAGCAAGGGGGATGAGGACTTCTCCAATGACGTCATCTCTGGAAAATCTGTCAAAGCTCAAGATCATGAAGTGAAGTGTTAAGTCTTGAATTTGGCTGTAGGGGATCCCATAAAATGTGAAAGTCTCATCAAAAGCAGGATCTAAGGTTTTTCTCAGCACTCTAGTTTTCACCTTGTGCTTTTTCTCAGGCAGGATTGTCATTTTGATGTAGGGATCAGAAGTCATTGACTGTTCATCCATTGCTGGCAGCCCACGAGCTTCTTTGATGTTCACTACAAATGCTTTCTTCTCAAAGTTGTACTCTAAGGAGAAAAAGAGAGTTCCTAGCTTGTCTTGTTTATCTTCAGATGACAGAGAAGTGATGGATTTTAAGCTATCAGGAGATACTGAATCTTTCTTCCTTTCTGCAAAATGCTTAGGAGATGAATTTTCAAGATCTGGAGAGCCCTGCATTTTTGTGGTAGTTTTGGGGAAATTGCCATTTAGATCTCTTTTCTCCAGGTCAAGATGGAGAGAGTTCTTTGACATTGCTGATTTGTTCTTTGCTTCACTTTTATCATCTGCTCCAAACTTCTTCTTGCTGTTGAGATTCTCGGGGTAGATATCAACCCCCTTCAGAACATGGACAAACTTGTATGGAGGGGTCTTATTGGACTTGGAAGATTTGCGTTGGCAGCAGATCCAAGCAAAGAGGGAGACAGAGAAGACAAGGCCAAATGCACTAAAGATTCCAACCACAGTAGGAATTTCATCTGAAAATCAAATAAATAGCAACAAGCACATAAGCAGCAGTACCTTGAATTCTGCATGATACTTCATAAAGCAATAATTTAGGTAAAGCAAACTGATAGGAGACGGTGATATCAGCAGGACTGACAGACTGGAAGTGCTCTGCCACCTGCAGGCACCAGTGTGCAGTCCCACTCCAAGGCACGCTTGTTATGCTAGTATTTTTCCATACACGCAGAGTTAGGGAGGAGAATACTATTCCCATCCTAATAATAATCTCTGTTCGTAATTTCTATGCTGTCTTAACCTTCTGTGTGTAGTTTCTGAGCTTATATGTCTGTGAATAATACCAGCTCTCAGCTGTTTTCAGCTTAGAGTTTATGGAGGTTTCTTGGTTAGCTAAAATGCACTCTGAAATACATATTACTTTTAGATACATCATCTGCTTTCCATAGTGTTTCCTAGAATACTTTGTGTGCTCAATTAGCTATTTTTTATGGTCTGTTCCCATAATCGCCTGTAGGTATCTCTTGAAAGAAGTGAGTTTAATTGGAGGTTATAGCACTCAACAGTTTCACTGGGATTTTCAATACTTTGCAGGAGGAAATCTATATAGAAAATTTGGGATAATTATATAGCAAGTGTCTTGTAGCAAGATGGATGTGATATTAGGTAGTACATATGAGTTCAAAGCTGAAAAAATCATGTTAAGTTTATCTATGTTAACCACTAAGCATTTAAGATACTGAAGCAAAGCTTATGGGGAGTTTGCAGAAAGGGTCAGTACTTCTTAGAAGTAGATAAGAAAAAATAATTCCTCCACAGTTTAATATGAATTCTATACTTACGCTGAATAAAGAGAAACCTGGGCAAGTGTTACAACCTCCTTTGCCAAGTGGATATATTATTTACATATGGAGTATCATTAGCCCTTCAAAGCACGCATTGAGGGGTAAATGAGCACAACTAATTAGAAATCCAATTTTGCCCATAAGTAACATTACTAAGTGAGTTTAAACCTCCCACAATGTAACAATCAGAGCTTAACCTTTCTTCCCTGCCACAGTGGACGTACAATGGAATATTAATGTCTTGACATTGTTTATGCATAAAGGCAATTATGTAACAATTCTGTTTCTCTCTGGTCATTCTGGAGGAATAAAGAGGAACTATCCCCTTGTATTACTAAATCAGCTTCATGCAGTCAAAAGCTGAGCAGATAAATGTGCTGCCAATACACCTTTGCTTTTTAGTGTGATGATTCAGAAAAAAAAAACCCCACAACAATACTATCAGAGCAAAGTAGGACATAATGTTCCAGCTCAGAAAGGATCAGGCCTGGCTGTTAATTTTTTATGACAACTTTCCTGGTGCCTACAAGCTGTACTACTCTATGCACTTAATTGCAGGAACTTAATGAAATGACTGACAACCATATTTGTGAGCAAAAAGTATTTTTCCTAGCTTAAGCACATAGTTTTGAGTTTCAAGAATTCCCTGGGCTGCATAAATTTAAATATACATGGTATAAATAGAAAGCTAAAAGTATTTGAAAACTAATCAGAATACTTTAATATCTTTTAAGAATGGTTTGTGCATTTACAATACTTTTTCGTGAGATAATATACTTTTTATAGTAATGGATATTATAATCTACTTTAATTCTACAACTACTGGAAGTAGTGGTAGAATCAATTTGATGTTTAAAATATTAATTATCTTTCTTAAATAAGTAATTAGGCAAGAGCAAGATGTCACAAGTGTGGTTAGAAACCTCAAGTGGGTGGAACAGGAAAGAAGATGAAATGGTAACTAAAATGGTTTTATATTTACAACTAATTGTGTCACAAAATGAATTTTTTGCTTTTGTCATAATCAGTTGGTTAACATTCAAGGCAGTGCATTAATAGAAAACATCACCTACTGGTTCTGGGAGAAGTTATTATTCCGATTATGTGATATAAATCTGGAGTCTCTTCACTAAGTCAGTGGAATGATCCCTGAATCAAACCACTGCTAGAGCAAGCCTAATGTAGTTTAGAGTCAATATTTGTAAAGCAGAGTTCAGAAATGTTCCCTCTTACTGTTTTTCTCCCTAAAGCAACTTATGTATGCATTTTATAAGTGCACAGACATGACTGCTTCTGAAACTTCTGATACCTCACTACAACCCGGGCATGGAAATGACAAAACTGAAAAGTTCATTGTCATCTTTGTTATTCTCATTGAAACTGGGTTGGTTAAGATGCAGCTGTTCAGCTAAAAACACTGAAATCCTGTATTTTCTTCTTCCTAGCAATGCCCTTTCACTTTAACTAATGATTGACCTACAATAAGAATAAAAGGAATGGCAATTATTTCAAGAATGACTTGAACAAAGATTTTCTGTGTGGCATTTACACCATGTAACTCTTGATGCATGTTACTTTAGCAGAGACACAGAAAACAGCACCAAACCCCTCTCATCCAACATTGCACCTACAAAAATCTCTTTATCTCTTCCGGTACTTTACCAGAGAGGAGGAACAGGCAGGGAGGAAGGAAGAGAGATTAGGGAAAGAAAGCAAATTCACACAACTTCTGAGACCTGAAGAGAACTGGGAGGAAAACCAGGTCCCTCCCTACAAGCTGCATGCTGGGAGGCACCGGGAGGCTCAGCAGAGGCTGCTCTTCTCCCGGGGAGGGGGAGCATCGCCCGGCCTCGGGTGCGGGAGCCGGGACGCGCTTACCGAACTGCTGGCGGCTGTCCACTATCGGAGCCATGTTGGTGGAGAGTGATGTCCACGGGGCTGGAGCCGCTGTCCGCGGTGCTGGAGCCGCTGTCCGCGGTGCTGGGGCCGCTGTCCGCGGTGCTGGGGCCGCAGTCGGTGCTGGCGCCGCTGTCCGCGGTGCTGGCGCCGCTGTCCGCGGTGCTGGGGCCACTGTCGGTGCTGGAGCCGCTGTCCGCGGTGCTGGAGCCGCTGTCCGGGATGCGGGAGCCGCCTCCCCGGATGCCAAGCAGCAACCCTCCCGGGGCGCTGAGCTCGCTGCCCTGCTGTCCCTTGGCTCTGCGCTCTCACGGCGCCCGGGTAACCGTCTTTGCCAGTGCAGTTAAAAAAAAAAAAAAAAATTACAGAGAGAGGAAAAAAAGAAACAACAACGAAAACCACCCAAAACCCGGAGACACGAGCAGTGGGGACAGTGGAGGAGGAGGCTGCGACGGGACTGGAGAAGGGGGGGAGGGGAACCTTCGGTCCTCCCCTTTGCACACTGATTTGCAACCCCCTTCCTGTTTTGGCTCTTCTGAGTAGCTCCGCTCTGAGACTGAGTACGTGGTTGAAACCCAAATTGACGCAATCCTGACGCTACAGGGCTGAAATCAGCACCTTTCCCGCCTCCCTCCCCCCCTCCCTAGCCACCACACCCTCTCTCCCTTCCTCTCTGTCTCTCTCTCCCTCCCTACCCCCTCCTCCTCCCCCTCTCCCTGTCCCTGTCTTGGGATTGAACACGCACTCATCGATTATTTTAACTGCCTTGCTGCAGGTTATGAGGTCCCCCACACACCCCTCCACCGGACACAGACAGTGAGATGGCAATGTCTGTGATTCAGATCACTCTCTGAAAGACATGGGTGTGCCCCTTTTGCCAGGGAAAGATGTATTCATTTGCTTAATTAACTATCAGCTGTGCATGTTACAACAACAAAGTGAAAGAGTTGCCAACCTGAGAGAGTCCAGACACCTCGGCTCCAGCTGCAGGGCACACGATTTTCCTATGACTGACATGATGAATTTACTGAATTTGAGTCACGAAAACTCTGGATGTGACTTGTCCCTGTGCCTCCTCCCTTCTTCCTCCCAACATCCACCCCCACATAAACATTCAGCCCCCAGTTTGGAAATTCTCTTGATCTTCCTGCAGGTCTGGGAAAGAGATGACTTCTAGATTTTACTGGTTTAGATGAATTGTCTCCCAGTGTGAACCGAGAATGTGGTGAAGAGACAGGGAAAGTGTGGAATAGAGGAGGAATGTGGGGGGAGCAGGACAAGAAAGCAGGGCTGCCTATAACTAGAATATCTACAGTGTATAATAAACCAAGCTAACTCCTTGTCAAACAGAGCTGCAAAAGCCAGCACCTGGCATCTGACTCCTCCTGGATTCAAACGGAAGTATAGCAGCCAGGTTTGGAGCTCATCCTTCTGCATAAATGGGAAACAGGTGTTGTTGCTTCTCTAAATAATAAAATCCAGATGCGGACATTGTCTGGCATGACCTGACTCCATGGTCAATCACATGGAAGCTAGTATGTCTTGCCCCACTTCAAAGCACATTCTTCCTTCTCAGTGAAGTCAGTGAAGCTCCTGGGATTTTAGAAAAATTTAAGTCGGAAGATAATGGAATCATAGAATATCTTGAGTTTGAAGGGACCTGTAAGGATGATCAAAGTCCAACTCCTGGCTCTGTGAAGAACACCCCAAGAATGCCACTGTGTACCTGAAAGCATTGTCAAAATGCTTCTTGAACTCTGACAGGTTTGGTTCTGTCACTACTTCCCTGAGGAGCCTGTTGCAGTGCCCAATCACTATTTGGGGGAAGAGCCTTTTACAAAAACCAGTGTAAATGTCCATGACTGAGCTTCAGGCCATTCCCTCAAGTCCTGTCACTGCTCACCAGAGAGAAGAGATCAGTGCCAGCCCCTCTGCTGCTTCTCATGAGAAACATACAGAATATATATACAGCTGTGTACAGTGATGATGTTCCCCCTCAGCCTCCCCTTTTCCAGCTGAACAGACCAAGGCCCCTCAACCACTTCTCATACTGATTCACCTCTGGATCCTCCACCATTCTCATAGCCCTCCTTTGGACACCATGTAAGACCTTTGTCTCTTCCCTATACTGTGGCCAAAGCTGCTCACAGTGTTCAGGGTGAGGCAGCCCCGGCCCAGAGCAGGGTGGGACAATCCCCTCCCTTGCCCTGCTGGCGACGCTGGGCCTGATGTCCCCAGGACAGGGATGTCCCTCCTGGTTGCCAGGGCACTGCTGACTCAGGTTCCACTTGCCACTGACCAGGACCCCCAGGTCCCTTTCCATGGCTCTGCTTTCCCAACTCTCTCTATACACCCAGGGCTGCCCTATCATGGGTGCAAATCTGGCACTTTCCGTTGCTGAACTTCATACAGTGAAGATGGTGATTTCCCATCTCTGTCATTTGTCAAGGTCTCTCTTCAGGGCCTGTCTGCCCTTGAGGCAGTCAAAAGCTCCTCCCTTAGCTTAGTATCATTGGCAAACTTAGCTTCCCTTCCAGTCAACATGGCAAGATGGTGTAAAAACACAGCTGAATTAAGTGCCTGGCGTATCCTGGGTTTTGAAAATCCACTACATAATAATGCTTTTGTTTATCTGCTTCTGCTATACCTTCAGCAACTGGGCCTCTGTAAAGACCCAAAAATCTTGCAGGAACAGCTGCACCCACTACCCCCCTAATCATCATTAGATCCCAGTCCTTTTAACAAATTGCAGACTATAGCTTGCCATCGCTGTTCCTCTTACAATCACCTGGAGTACAATGAATTTGGGTATAAGAAGACTGAAGAAACTGTTGAAGAGCTCTTTTTTTGGTGTGCTTTGGCAGCACAATTTGATTTAGAATCTTTGGATTCATGTGTTGGCACAAATCTAGAATCCAAAATCTAAACTTGCCCAAAATGTGTAGACACTGAAAGCAATCACATTTGATTTTAGGCAACATTCCAAGTATATGAACCTCCAGACTTGACTGAAATAAACAAAATCCTAAAAAAAATTTGGCGTTAAACACATATAACTGGATTATTGTATTATTGTAAATTACTATGCCTGGACTTCAAAAACAAAGGACTGAGAATCAATATATAGTATATCTGGGTAGTGCATTTATCCTACATGAGCTGGGATAGACTGAGCATAAACATTATGTTGACACTTGAATTATTGTCCGTAATTATTGAATCTTTTTATTTTCCTCCTTTTTTTCCAGCAAACCCCAAGATTTCCTTTGTTGAAATATACATCATTTAGAGACCACATGGAATTATAAAAATGATTGATTCTGGTTTTCTTCTGTTTAGTTTCTCATACGTCCCAGGGATATATAAAAAGCTTTTACACAATATGTAATTTATTTTAGGAATTCACAGGGATAATTCCCTTTAATGTTCAGCATTTTATTTTTTCTTTTTCTTTTCTGGGACAATGCTGATGAAATGGGGAAGATATGTGTCCTTTTATTTCTTTTTTTTTCTTCTTTTCAGAAATTCATGACAGTTCGTGGTAGGTTTTAGATACCAGTAAAAACTTGAGTGGTGTTTTGTGCTGTACAAACATTGAGTAGAGAGCCTTTCCTTTCATCCCAGTTTTGTGCATGTGTATCACTTTAATAAATGTAACATAAAAAAGGTTTCATGACTTTCTAAAGTCTCTGTCTTTAGAAACTTGGAGCTGCCAAGACTGTGTATATAGAGAAGCACGTGAAAACATATCTATAGATATGAAAAATAAAAGTAATTTTTTATCTTCATTGCTTTGGTCAGCAAAATAGCAAATATTTTTTTTTTACGTCACACATGAACCTTCTGTATTTAATACAGGATTCCACTTAATGGAACAGAGGGTTCATCACGGAAAATACTTGAGGGGGAGGTGGAGCACTGAGCTGCTGACACATCTCGAGACAGACACACGTTTGCTGCCTGCGTTGTGCAAGCACCATCTAGTGTACGTCTCAGAGCCATCAGCACAGGATGACGAACCTGCTCCCCTGTAGGTGCTACAAGCACAAGGATGCATAACCAGCCCACTGCTGATTCATTGCACTTCTGGCAGGCATCCAGAGAGAAAATCACATTAACCCTGTGTGTTTCTTAACCAATTAAATGATGGCCTTTCTGTTCTGCAAAACAGTAATGACTCCTCATTTCTGCAGCTGTAAGTTCTTCACATTTCCCTCCGTTCTAAGGCAGCATTGTGTATATTCCCTTCACACAGTTTGCAACAGGCTCTTCAGTAAAAACTCAGGCTAGGAACTCACTGCCCAGGTAAAATTCCCTTCCTTTCTCCTGCAAACAATGATCTCAAAAACTTCCAGCTCAGAGACAGAACATTAAAAGGAGCTGAATGAGATTTTTCCTGCACTGAATCAGAATGTGTTGATCATCTGGAAAATATCACAGTATGTGATCTGGCTGGCTGTATCACAACAGGACTTTCTGTGGTCTGAAAACCAGATTACTGGTGCACATGCATGTGCAGAGCATCCTCCTGCTACTCCAAGACTGGGGAGTGTGGTTGCTAAGTGACAGAGATGGTACACTTCCCAAAGCAGAGAGTCCCCAAACACACACATAGGGCTGGAAAAGGTGCCCCCCCCCCCCGCCACCTGCAAATAATTGTCACTATTTTACAGATTCCCCACACCTATGTGTGAAGAAAACAGAATCCTTTCAATTTATCAAGGAAAAAAACCCCAAGTTATTTTAAACAAGCATCCCCCCAGTCCCTCCCATCCCCTCAAAGTCAACCAACACTTAAAAATAAAACTCAGAAATTCATGTGTACGAGGTGAAGCTGGGAAAGTAGCCCTTTCCCATCTCTGTGGAGTGCTTCCCTGGAGCTTAAAGACAGTTTCACATTTTCAAAAATAGCATATAATTTTGAGTTCTGCAGTTGCCAGGTGCCAAATTACAGACATTAATTAATACTATTCAGCACCTATGAAAATCAAGTCCTCCAGCCATGCTTACAAAATAAAACCTCAGCAAGAATACCAATATCAGTCCCTGGTTTTGGGAAGTGAAGAACATTCAACACTCTGGAAGACAAACAACTTCAAAGGGATCTACAAAGGATTTAGGTAGTCATACTCTCCTTAATTTCCACTTCAGCTAGCTCCACAATTAGACAGTAGAAAGGGGCCAGCATCCCCCCCATCTCATCTCTCAGCCTTTGACACTTCTTAAATGCCTAAAGGCAACTTTTTGAGTGCCACAAACACACAACCCTGGACTTATCACCTGAAGACTCACCTTGCTGCCTATTTAGCCCTCTGACATATTTCCCTAGTTT